AAAATTCTTGCAAACAAACATAAATAATGATTAAACTACATCAAAAAAAGTCTTGTTGAATAATTTACTATAAGAAATTTTCTTCCCCCACGCACAATAAATGATTAAACAATATAACTGTGAACTTCAACAGGTAGGTTGAATTTGCATGATGATTCTAACCACCAAAATATATTTCAAAAATCAGAACATTTATGAAATATTAATAATAAGTTTATTTGGTGACATTAATAAAATACTATTATCTTCAGGTATGTTGATATTGCAATGATGCTTTAAAAAGAAAGAAAAAGAAAGTCCTTTTTTTTTGTTTTACCAATTATGATATGCTATGTGACTTTTACTTACTTGTTCCTCACTCATAACTATGTCCCCAAGGCAGGCCTTGAAAAGTAAGAGTTTTTCTTCTTCAGCTTGGGTGTTAGAAACTCTCAACTTCTCCTACCTTCTTCTCTTGGAATTGGCCACAAAATAATTATCTAATCTACTAATGCCCAATAGTAAGTCATAATATTCTCCCTTCATTATAGATTGGCCTGTTCTGTGCTCTAGAGAGAAGAATGCTACACAAAGAGGCCAAGAACAATACTGAAACAGGTTTTGCATTATTTCCATATCCACTCTATTAGCATTATATACACAATGAAGTTTCCATAAAGCCCCTAAACAACAGAATTCAGACATTCTAGATAACTGAACATGCAAAGGGCCCTGGAGTGTACCACTGAGTGGATACTGAGGCTCCATGTCCCTTCTTTCATATCTTTCAATAAACTGGTTAACTGGTTCCCTGAGTTCTAGTCAACAAATTAACCAAACCTGAGAGGAAGCCAGGTGTGGTGGCACATGCCTGTAATTCCAGCACTCTTCAGGACTAAGACAGCAGGAACACAAGTTCAACCTGAGCCTGATGGGCAACCTAGTGAGACCCTGTCTCAATTACAAAGACTGGAGATGCAGCTCAGTGAAAAGATCCTAGTTTCAACCCCCAGTACCACAAACAAACACCTTAGGAGCAGATTCTAAGAACAACAATTTATAGACAATAGATCAGAAGTATAGTTCTGCAGCTCAAGACAAGAGAGAAACAGATTACTGCTGTTTGAGAGCCCAGAGGGAGGGGCTTCCAGGCTGCCATTCCACCACTCCCAGCCCAGAGGAAGGGGCATTCAGGCCACTGTTCCATTGCTCCCAGCCCAGAGGAAGGGGCTTCCTGGATGCTGTTCCACTGCTCTCAGCCCAGAGGAAGGGGCTTCCGGGCCGCCACTCCACTGCTACCAGCGCAGAGGAGGTGAGCCAAGTGGGCACCAACAGCACCACCCCCACATCGAAATGAGAAGACACGTAAACAAGTCTCAAAACCAGACTTCCAGATCACCTACAGCAACCCCAAAGGGAAAGCAGATGGGACAATCTGATACTCAACCACCTGAACTCCCTGAACAGGCAACAAAAGAGGATCTGGAAAAAATGAAATCAGAAATAATTTTTCAGATAACAGCAGAGATTGTGCCCTTAATGCAAGACATGATTAATAAATCTAGAAAGGACACAGATTAAAAAAAACAGAGGAGCTGAGGAACATGATGGAATCCCAACATAGGACGAATCCATGAAACAGATACAAACAGATTTCTAGATTAAAAACTCCATTGAAAGCTTACACAGCAGAATGAGCCAATGTGAGGACTGAATTTCAGATATAGAAGATAAGATTGCAATTAGTGACCAGGAAAAGAAAAAGTGTTTCAAAAAAAAAACTAAAAAAAATTTTAAAAACAATTAAAAGTGCTTCAAAATTGTAAGGGACCATGAGAAATCAATCCAGCAGCTACTAGGCATATAATTGTTAAGATTCCAGGAACCCTTGGGGAGAAAGGACTCTTCATCATTGGTAAAGAGTCAGACTGGTGGGAGTGCAGACTGGTGCAACCACTGTGGATATCAGTATGGAGATACCTCAAAGAATTAGGCTTAGAGATCCCATTCGACCCAGCTATCCAACTGCTAGGTATCTTCCCAAAAGAATTAAAAGAATCATACCACACCAATATAGGTGCACCCATGTTTATAGTGGCACAGTTTGTAACAGCGAAAGCTTGGAAACACCCCAAGTGCCCATTAACTGAAAACTGGATAAAGATGTGGTTTTTTAATAAAATGGAGTACTACTCAGCCATAAAGAATAACAAACTAGAGACATTTATAGCTAAATGGATGCATATTGAGGCCATCCTCTTAGGTGAAATAAAGAGGACACACATGTGTAAATACCGAATAGTTTCTCTTAGCATGAGAAACTGAAAGTGTAATTAAAGATATAGACGGGTGAAATGGCCTAATAACATATTTCTTGGATTGTGTTTCCATCGTGTGTCATATGACTGTATTGAAATTTAAATTAGGGAGAAGCTTGGCTTATGTGGAGTCTGCTAACTGGATTTTTTTTCCAGACCACTATTTGTTCAATGTTGGTTTGGGGGATCTTTCTCAAACAAATCACATCCTCTGGCATCTTGCTGGTGCTTGAGATGCTTTTTTAAGTTATATGGGAAAATGTTGAAGTGCTTTTCAGTTTTGTTTTGGGTGAGTTCTACTGTATTTGAATATTACTGTACTTTTTTTCCCCTTGCATTGTTCTTCTTTGAATGGTTTTAATTTTTGTATATGTGTGTTTGATAATAAAGTTATTTTAAAAATTTTTAAAAAAAAAGATTCCAGAAACCCAACAGAAGAACAAAATTCTATAAGCAGTTAGACAAAAGAAACAAATCACAAAGGAAAGCCCATCACAATCACAGCAGACTTCTCAATGCAAACCCTTAAGCCAAGAAAAGCTTGGAGTGACATATTTCAAGCCCTAAAGGAAAACAGCCTCAAACCCAGATTGATCTACCCTGAAAAACTATCTTTCAAAATTGATGGAGAAATAACATACTTTCATGACAAACAGCACCTTAGGAACTTCATGAACACCAAACCAGCACTCCACAAAATTTTAGATAATATCCTAGGAACAGACAATGAGGATCACAACCCCAGGAAGCACAGCAGAATGAATCCATCGGGTGCGACAAGAAATTAAATGTAATGGGGGAGAATCCAACAAAAAGAAAAAGTCATGACAATGATAAGGCAATACATATCAGTTATAACCATCAATGTTAATGGTCTCAACTCACCAATCAAAAGAAATAGACTGGCAGAATGAGTCAAGAAGCAAGATCCAACAATATGCTACATACAAGAAACACACTTAATTCAAAAAGAAACTCATAGACTGAAAGTTAAAGGGAAGAAAACAATATTCCATGTGACAGGAACCTGCAAAATAAAAGGAATAGCTATTATCTTTGCAGATCAAGTGGATTTCAAACCATCGCTGATTAAGAGAGACAAAGAAGGACACTACCATCTTGTAAAGGGAATAATCCAAGAGTTAGAGATGACAATCATAAATATCCATGCACCAAACACTAGTGCGCCCAACTATATAAAACAAATACTAACAGACATTAAAAGTCATATATGCACCAATACAATAGTAGTGGGGGACCTCAGTACCCCACTGTCACGAATAGATCAACTAGACAAAAAAATAATGAAATACTAGAACTCAATCGAACTCTTGAACAAATGAACTTAACAGATGTTTACAAATTGTTCCACCCTACAAAATCAGAATCCACATTCTTTTCAGCTGCACACAGGTCGTTCTCCAAAATAGACCACATACTCATAGAACGTGAGTAAGTAAGTGCAAAGGAATGGAAGTTATCCCTTGTGTATTATCAGACCATAGTGTGATGAAATTGGAGATCAACAGCAAAAGAAACCGCAAAAATTACATAAACACATGGAAATAGATCAGAAGTATAGGTAGAACAACTTGGGGACTGCAACTTATATCTAAGGGGTAGAATCTTGGGAACTTCAACCTGTGGCATCTAACACTATCTGTCAAAACTGAACTGGATTACAAGACATCCAGCTAGGGCCGGGGATTTACCTCAGTGGTTCCACTGCCTGCTACCAAAAAAACAAAAAAAACAAACCCAACAAGACACCCACCTAATTTCCACTATGACAAAATTGATTGTTTTCTTGCTGGTGAAGAAAAATGCCATTTTTGAAGTCACAGACGTCTTCTGAACTGATTGTTATGGTGTGACAACAGAAGAAAAAGGTTTTTTCGAACACAGCAACATATACTAAAATAGCCAGAGATGAATTAATGTCAAGATGACCTTATAACAGGGGCCAAGGATTTAGCTCAGTGGTTTTGCCGCCTGCTGTGCAAGCGCAAGGACCTGAGTTCGATCTCCAGTACCAAAAAAAATAATAATAATAATAACATAACAAAGAAGGGAAAGAGAGGTGAAGAGATGAAACAAGATTGGCCACTGACCATACCTGAAAACTGTTGAAGGTAGATGGGTGGGGTCTGTTTGTGTGTGTGTGTACTTGTTATGCTATTATGTCTCATTATAGCAAATCCCTTCATTGAGTGTAGAATAAAAGCCTAAATCTCTTGACACACTGTTATTGCTATTTCTCAAAGCTTATGTATTTTAATAACTACGATTCTTAGAATACGTAAAGATATCAATTGATATATTTACCTATTGTTCTTCTACAATTCTCACTTATGTATCAATCAGAATATATTCTGAGACAGTTCCCTATCTCAAAACTAGCACTACCAAAATACATACTTAGGCACTCACAGGAAATCAGTTACATGTGGAAAGCAGAATGTCTTAACTAGACTTCATTTAATGTCAAAACTTCCTCTATGCCTATACATGGATCACCAAGTAAGGAGGAAAAAAATGACACTATACTACTTTCCTTTTTTCTGATCACTGCTAAGCCAATTTACAAAGTTTCCAAGAATTTCTAATGTATCATTGACATTTTTTAAAAAGAATTAAAAAAATAGCTTATATCAAGTATATGGTAACCATTAAAGGAACAAAGAAGACAAGTATAATACATACTGGAGGCCGGCCAGGACGACCCCTTTTTCTTTTTCCTTTGACCTCTGTTTCTTCAAGTTCGCTGCCAGCATCAGAATGGGCAGTAGTTTCATTAGTTGAATCCCTAGAAAATGTCACATTATTTTAGTAAACAAATGAATAAACACAATGCAGTTTTGTTCAAGTATTTTCCTTACCTCTTGGTATACTGCTAGAAGTGGTTAATATTTCTTCAGAAAAACTCTTCAGTGAATCAAAAATGTTACCTTCCCCTTCTAGTATCATATAACACTGAGTGATATGAATTCCCCAAATAAAGAAATAAAGAGTAGGAAATTACTGTTGAAATGGCAGCTGCTGTACAATATGTAAATGCAAAATACAACTCCAAAAGATTAATTTAGTATAAAAAGATGAAGGCTCAGAAAAAATTTTGTAAAAAAATCATTAAAGTCAGTGGTGTCTTAGTAACTGTTCAGTAAGTGGCTCTTCAAAAAAATACATGCAAATATATTACTATAATAAATATTATAGATTTAAAGGATACACAGCACATAATTTATAAACAATGCATAAAACTCTCATTGTAAATTTCATAGTGACTTGATTCTCAGAGAATGATTTTGATATTCTTGACAACTTTTACATCCATATGTAACCTATGGTTGCAACTGATAATAAGTAGGAATTTTGACATTAAAGATGGTTGTTTTTCATTTTAATGAAAAGATGTAGGTAAAAGACAGACAACTATCAGAACTTCACTCGTTAGCCAGTGCTGTGAGCAACGTCATTGTTTAATCAGATAATAGTTCTCAATACTGGAAGAATACTTCCTCAATTTTGAGCTACTCATAATATACCTAATACACTTCAAAGTTTAATCTTTGTTATAAACTATCAGTTTCTTAAATCCACAGACAATTGTCAGGCACCTAGCATATGCCTATAATCCCACCACTTGGGAGGATGAGGCAGAAGATTGCTTTGAGCTGAGGTCAGGTGGAGCTACCAAGTTCAAGGTCAGGCTGGAGTGCATACAGAAACCTAGTCTCAAAAAAAAAAAAAACAAACAACCACCACACACAAAAAGCAGCAGAGAGGAAGGAGGAAAGAGTAAGGAGAGGGGAGGAGGAGGAGGAGGAAGAAGAGAAGAAGGAAGAAGAGGAGGACAAGGGGGAGGAGGAAGAGGAAGAAGAAGAAAGGGAGAGAGAAATCCACAATCAGCAAAACAATAAATCAAGTCCGGGTTTGCAGCCTTTGCTGATTTTCATGGTGTACTTACTCCCACCCCAGTCAATTTCAAACAAAGTAGTACCACAAAACCCAGAGTTGGGAAGTGATAAACAGTAGTATACTATTAAACCACAATTTCACCATACATGTACAAAGGTGTAATCAACCTCAAGATAAAGTGATATAAGGCAGGTATGGTGGCATACATCTGTAATCCCAGCACTCTGAAAGACTGAAGTAGGAAGATCTCAAGTTCAAACTTGCACAACTTAGAGATGTATCAAACCTTTGTCTTAAAATATAAAAAGGGCTAAGGATGTAGCTCACTACAAAGGCTCTGTGTTCAGTCCCTAGTAAAGGGGATAGGATATGGAGATGAGGATAGAGACAATAGATATCAACTACAAAGTAATGAATTTTAAGTACTTATGACTTATTTTAATGTCATTAATTCAAAGCTTATATAATTTAACTTTTTATAATGTCTATGTTGTACTGACTGGCCTGCAAACTTTTGGCTTTTACAAGTCAACACAGACTAGCTCCAACGTGGCATGCAAAAGGACTGCTCCTACAAACAGGAATTTCACACTGTATTATACACTGACAATTCCATTAGGACTCTACCTAAAACTATAAACAGGGCTGGGGATTTAGCTCAGTGGTTTCGTTGCCTGCCTCGAAAGCGCAAGGTCCTGAATTCGATCCCCAGTACCAAAAAAAAAAAAAATCAATCTTTAGTGTCTGCTCGTCTCTCTCCCTTGCATATTTCTTATACTAAAATTCCAACTTTTGTTGTTACAGTTTTTGTTTTTTGAGACAGGATCTTACTATGTAGTTCAGCCTGTTCTTAAACTCAAACTCTCGGCAATCATCCTGTCTCAGCCTCCCAAGTGGGATTACAGGTGTGTGCCACTACACTTGGTGATATCCAACTTCTATACAAATGACTTCAAAACCTTTTATCAGTAGACCTGATCGCATTTTAAATCTCTAATTCAAGATTATTAACTTGCATGTATGACCTGTTTCTTTGAGAGTCACCTCTAATTTATCAAACACCTCAACTAAAATTAGGTTTAAAAGGGTTGGGGGTTTTGAGGGTTGCAGGCAGAGGAAGGGTAGAAGTTCATGATCAATGCATGACGTATGCATGTATAAAATTATCACTATGATTCCCTTTAATTTGTACAATCAATATGAATAATTATAATTTTAAAAATAAAATTAAGTCCAATTCTGACTTACTTCTGCTGTTTATAGAAACAGTATTAACTGATTTGGGGTGGGTTTTTTTGTAGTACCGGGGATTGAATTCAGGATCTTTCACTTGCAAGGCAGGTGGCGGCACCACTGAGCTAAATCCCTGTCCCTTTTGTTTTGTTTTTTGTATTAACTGATTTCTAAAGTTAACTCAACAATGTATTTTAAATTATTAGATAAATTTATTATCATCACAATTATTGTTATTCAAATTCAAAGAATTGTGTAACTCATCCTGTATGTCTTCTGTTAACACAAGTGCTCTTCAGTTATCTTTTTCAGTATAATAATCTGTCACTCTTTCCAAGATCATGAATCCCGAAAACAATCTTTATTTATCTCCCTGGTTCTATCTTCTCCCCTCTCCAACCCATTCTACACACTACTGCTAGAAATAGTCTTGCACCATGCTGCTCTCTTGTTTTTAAATCTTTCAAGGCAATTTGATATTTAAAATTGTAAATAATATTTTACATTCAGAGGTCAGTAATTTTTTTCTTAAAGGATTTTTAAGTCTTAATGTCTTATAACTACTTCTCAACTCTTATGTCACTGCATAAATGCAACCGTATACAATATGTAAATGAATAGGTGTGACTATGTTTCAATAACATATTACTTATAAAAACAAGCATCTGAGACCCTGGCAGCAGTTTGATCCTTGATCTAGTCACTCTTATTTGTCTCTCGGGAAGAAAAGCAAATCATATTGCTTCTGCACATCACTGCAGTCCAAATAAATGTTTAACATACAATGTCACTTTATACAAACATATATAAACTTATAAGAAATATATTATTGTCCTGATTTTACAGATGAGGAAATGACCTAACAAATTTGTCCATAGGCACACATCTAGTAAGTGGAAGTCCAGTTACACCTCAAAGTGAATGTAAATTTCTATTTCCGTGGCAGGATACTAGAATTCAAGTTATGCTTTTATGTATCTTATGTAGACAAAATCCACTATTGCTTTTGATACTTATAGAAATCTCTGGGCAACCTCAAGAGCAAGCCAGATCCAGCATATAATAAGTGACTTATGACTAAAACTAAAATGTGTTTAAGCAATATAGTTTATTGACAACCACCAAATTATGATTTAATAATTCTACCAGCTGCAGCCAGCCTAAAAGGCAAGAATTACTGTCAATAAATAGCTAATATATTCCTACTGGAATATGTTTGTTTACTTATTAGAATATATAATAAATATTTTTTGTTTTAAGCAACAAAAAGATAAGAACACAAGGAAAAGCTGCATTTCTCTGAATCCCAACCTGTGGAATGCCATTAACAGTTTGACTGTTAATGTCATAAATAAATGGAAATTTTCCATTTTAATGCATGGGATTCCATAGTATGTACAGAATTCATTTAATTATTTCTCTATCGTTGGTTACTTACAATATCTCTAGTTCTACAATATTACAAAGTGCTGCGATGACTTTCCTTGTAGATAAATTTTATTACACATCACAAAAAAACCTAAGACAAGACACAGTGGAAATGATGGGTCCATGGTATACAAGTTGAAACTGACCAATCTGTTCTTCAACAACCCTGTTAATGGCTAAGATTTACCTTTATAAGACTACTGAATATAAATTAAAAGCATGTAAGATCAGATCAGGCCAAGCATGGGGCCATACACCTGAAATCCCAGCACTTGAGAGGCTGAGACAGGAGGACTGCTGTGAGTTTGAAACCATCCTAGGCTACATAGTGAATTCAAGGCCAGCCTGAATTACAGAGCAAGACTCTGGCTCAAAAAAACAAACCAAAACTCTCCCTCTCTCTCTCTCTCTCTCTCTCACACACACACACACACACACACACAAACATGCGCGCGCGCAAAATGAATCACATCAGATCTTATAAAAATGATTTTTCTCCCTTTGTAAAACTCTAGAAATTGTGTTTACTTCTCTTCATCTTTATTCAAACCACTTTAGTTCAATTTATCATTGCCAGTGTATGGACTACAAAAACCTCCTCTTAGTCTTCTTTCTTGTATTGGCCCTTCCAACATAATCACTACACTGCACTGAGTTATTTTCCAATTTTACATATAATTTTAATTATATTATATTACATTACATTATATATTCTTATCTCCTCTCTCCTGTTGAAAACCACAGTTGCTTTCCAACGCAGAGGAGACAGACAACATATTTCCAAATATAACTTAGCAAGTCCCAGTACGATACTGCTCCTCTCAATCCAAAAGCCTTCTTGTGTCACTCTCCTCCCCTTATCCCCCCTTCCAAAAAAAAAGAACTGGGGCAAAAAAAGACTTTATTTCAGAGCTTCAAATATAATATGCTTCCTCCTAGCTCAGGGACTTTGTACATCCCATTTCCTCCGTCTGGAATAATACCTTGCTCCCTTCTTCATTTCCCACACACATCCCCCACTTCAGGCCTCTCAACTCAAATGCTCCATTCTTATGAAAGTAGATTAAAAGCATTAAAATTCTAACAATATGCCTAACTTTTCCTTCATAGCATTAATGGAAACTTAAAATTATGCAATTGTGATTATTTAACTAACATCTACCTTTGTAAGTTTAATGGCAACAAAGAATGTGTCTGTTCTACCTACTTTATCTACCCTGAATTTAACACACCAATGGACTATGAACATGCAGTACATGATACCACTTTGATACTTCTTAATAGCAATAGCACTAAGGAAAAAAAAAATCATCAGCAATTAAGTAAATCAGCCAAAAAATAATAAGATCAATCACTATGGCCTTTCCTAACTGAATTGTTCTTCTAAAATACCTCGTTCATGGGCCGGGGATTTAGCCCAGTGGTTCTGTCGCCTGCCTTGCAAGCGCAAGGACCCGAGTTCGATCCCAGGTACCAAAAAATAAAATAAAATAAAATAAAATAAAATAAAATAAAATACCTCGTTCATAATATTTTGTTTTTGTTTTTAAGGCAACATAGAGATCAACTTCTAATGTATTACCTTCACTTTACAGATAATAGAAATTGAAGTTTCCTTTCTCTACAATGAAGACAGGTACTATGGTTTGGACAAGTGTCCCACAGAGGCCCATTTGTTAAAGGCCTAGTAGCTAGGCTGTGGTGTTATTTAGAGGTGGTAAAACTTATAACAGGTGAAGTTTAGTAAGAGGAACTTGCGGGGGAGTGCTCTTGAAAGGGACATTAGGACCCTGGCCCCTTCCTGCTTCTCTCTGCTTCCCAGTTGCCAAGAGTTGAGGAGCTTTGTTCCCCCACTCACTGTCTCCACAATACATTGTCCTACCACTGGCCCAAAAAGAACAAAGCCAATCAACCATGAACTGAAACTTTCAAAATTATGAGCCAAAAACAAGCTTTTCCTTTTTAAACCCAATTTATCTCACATGATTTTAATAGCATCAGAAATCTCTATACAGAGGAAATTGGTATCAAGTAAGTTCATTCTTGTAACTATTCCTAACAATGTGATTCAGAAACCTTTGGAAGTGAATTGAAGGAGGAATTTGTTTGTTTGTTTGTTTTGGTACCAGGGATCAAACTCCAGTCCTTGAGCTTGCGCAGCAGGGGGCGAAACCACTGAGCTAAATCCCGGGCCCTGAAGGAGGAATTTGAAAGTTTAAAGAAATAGGATGAAGGGCCAAGTTCCACCACCTGCCCTATAAGCACAAGAACCCGAGTTCGATCCCCGGTACCAAAAAAAAAAAAAAAAAGAAAGAAATAGGATGAAGAAAGCCTAGAGTGCTGTAAATGGAGCTTAAGAGTCATTTCTTGTAAGGATTCATAAAAACAGAATGCTGAAAGAAATGTCCAAAGGAAAAGTTATGCTTACAAAATGTGAGGTGAAAATGCAGATTCTATTGGGAAATTGGACTAGAGGATATCACTGTTATACAGTGGAAAACAACTTGGCTTCCTTTAGTCCATTCTCTGACACTTTATGGAAGGCTAAGCTTAAAGGTAATGGACTTACTGGCAGGAGAAATTTCAAGGTAGCCAGGCACTCTGGCAGCAACACTGCTGACTGCTTTCAGTCAGATGTATGGCAATAATTGGTTACAAAAAAGCAGAGTGGCAAAGATTTGAAAACTTCAGGATGTGGCCAAAAAAGGAGTACCTAAAAGGCATTGCCAAGGAAGTTGTGGTTGCAGTTGCTAATGCCATTAAAAAGAAACCAAGAGCTTTACATTGGAACAATAGTAAAAATGCCTTGAAGGCATCTCAACCAACAAGATCTGCTCACTGCAGCCCCAAATGTGTAAACTACTTTCAAAGACTTTCATTCTGCTCACACAGGGCCACCCATGGATTGTTTCCGTGCAATTCCTTTCTCACCCAGGCACTCAGAGGCCACTGTGGCCATAGGGTGAGCAGACCATGGCACACTTTGAACTGATGCCAGACATTGGTGTCATCCACATTATGCTGATTTTGCAAGTATAGAGACAGCATTATGGCATGATAAAGACTCCACCAATATTTCAAAGGAAGGCCTGAGAAGCCATGCAGTGTATGGTGGGGTTGTACTAGGGCAATGTACGAAGTTGTGAGAGTGAAGATGAAGCTGCAGTGGAGATGCTAGGAAGATAAGAGGCGCCAGAAACATGTAATACCTGCCTAGGAAAGCTGCAGGCAGCAAGCAGAATCAGTGAGAAAGAGTGGCTGTGACAGTTACAGGTACTAAGGCCATAAGACACAGTGTTACCCAACCAAACCCCTTTGGAGCTTACATCATGCCAATGTATATGTGGGATCTCAGACAAAGAGCTATAGAACTTAACACATCCCTTCATGGCTTGAACAACTAGTGGTTCATCCATAACCGTCCCATGCTACTCAATGGGACAGTCATGCATGTACCACTGGTGGTTCAGAGCCGCCCAGCAGCGAGACATACAAATTACATCCTGACGTGAACATGTTATATTCATTTTTCCCTGCTGAGTTTGGTTTTGCTTTGATTCGATTCCCCCCTTACTCTTTTCCTATTCCTGCATTTGGGAACAGGAATACCTATCTTGAGCTACTGCATCTTGGAAATATGAAAACTTGTGTTTCTTTGTTTGTTTGGTTGGTTGTTTTTTACAGGGGTTCATAGCTGAGACTGCCTTGAGACTCAAAGACTCCGGATTTGGACTACTGAGCAATGCTCAGTATATTTGAAGACTGTTGGAGAAAGACTAAACGCATTTTGTATTATAAGACAGACATGAGCGTTTGGGGGCCAGAAGCAGAATGCTATGGTTTGGATAAATGTCTCCTAAAAGAACATGTGTTACAGGCTTGGTCAACAGCCCAGTAGCAAAGGAGAAGTGGCAGAACCTTTAAGAGGTGGGGCCTAGAGGGAAGTTAATTGTTAAAGGTTCAGCTTCAAAGGAGATAATGGAACTCTAGTCCCCTCTTGCCTCTCCCTTTGCTTCCTAATTGTTAGCACATAGGATCAAACCATCATTATCATACAGAATCAAAAATACCATGTGATGAGCAGATTGTTCTAAAGATCCCCACTCCATGATATGCTACTTTGCCAAAGATTCAAAGCAGCAGAACCAACTGATAATGGTCTGGGGCCTCTGAAACTAAGCCAAAATAAACCAGTCCTCCTTTTAAGTTGATTGTCTCACATGTTTTGTCATAGTCAAGGAAAGCTATGCTGGAACAAATGACATAATAGACAGATGGATTAAGAAAGGTAATATATGCAAACATCCACAAAATTCCCCCCAAAACCATATACTTTCATAAAACCATATAAGTTCTAATAAGAATATCATTCCCAGCTGACAAATATAAACTAGAGCTCATTTACCCAGATCCCAGATCACCACTATCGAGTACTCATAAAATTCAGTTATAAAACATAATACAATACTAAATACTATAGATACATATTCTCTAAATACACATATGTAAAAAGAATTAAGATGCACCAATATGTGTCAACTCCCTACAATGAATGTAATCCTTATATACTGCAAACAAGGTACTAATGAAACATTTTAAATAAACACAATTTGAATACCAATCTGTTTCATATTTTATCACTAATGCTAATAATCAGTATGCTAGAAATAGATCATACGAAAATAAATCAAACTTGTATACTCTAGGAAGTGGGTCAGAGCCACTGAGGGGCAACATTATGCAGGTGAGAGAAGAACATACAAAATGTAGGAACACAAAAGGCTATCTATCACAACTCTGAGGGTTTAGAGGAGCTTTGCCAGAGCCATGATACCTCAAGACATAAATAGTGAGTTGGATGGATAAGGCAGAAGTGCATAAGATAAAGTAAAAGAAAGAAATTATTATTTAGAGACCTCTAAACTCAGTATTTCATTTGAGTTAGTACAGGGGAGTGAAGTAAATTAGGTAGAAAAGAGTTAAATTCTGCCTCCTATATTTGAGAGAAAGAAGAAGGGACAATATTGGTGGTCTCTGAAGTGGGTAAAGAAATTTGGAAAGCTTTGTATATTAGAATTTGAGGGAAAAAAGCCAAGAGATCAGAGCCTGTGTCTTAGAGAAGAAGTATATAAATGAATGAGGTCACTAACAACATAAATAACTGCTTAAACAGCTGATCACTTTCATTACAGCTAAACTTATAGGATTATAAGTATGTGGATCCCTGATTTGCATCTTGGCGAAAGCTATAAATGGTACCATATCTGTTATTACCATGACCACATTTTCCAGAGAATTCCAAAGTAAGTTCCACTTCTAAATCTAAATACAAATCCAACAAATATAATGATATGCCACCAAAAATACCAAATGGCAGTCTCCTAAAATTACTTCTAGTAACCTGAATGGCTCACCAATCTCAATCTCAAGGGAAAAAAATCTTAATGAAGAAGCTAAAAGACCAGGAACAAGGCAGAAAACAAGGAGATACAGAATACAGGTCAACAAATTTTTTCTTCTAGCCAGACTGAATATTTTAGGCTTTCTAGACAAGCTCAATCACTAGCACAATTTGTAGCACAAAGAAGCTATGATCACAATGTAAAAAACAATTATAGCTCTGAAGCAATAACATATTATTTACAAAAACAGGTAGCATGACAGATTTGGCTTTTAGGCCATCATTTTCTGAACCTTGACTAGCACACTAACACCTCTTTGCTCAGTATCAGAAAACATACTGACTTTCCAATAGCAGGGCCATGGCTGGATATGACAATTACAAACCCTAATACTTCAATTTCAAATATATTATCCCAATATCAGAGAATACAGCTGATATCAAATCAAAGAGACCATTGTGATAAATATATACATTTGTCCCTTTTTAAAAAAATGTGAATACTTACTGTAACACTGGTAACTCTGAAGTAATCATTGTTGATGTTGTTCCACAATACAGCAAAATAATGAAGTTCTGTACAACTCAAAACTTTTGAAACAATCTTAAAGGGGTTCCTGTTAATTAAAAAAAGAAAATTATTATAAAATGAATTATTATAAAATGAATACGTCAGAATACATAAGGTATCAGCGATCGCAGTACTTGATATTTACCCAAGTTGAGGACATATCCACAGAGAAGCCTTCAAAAGGATGTTTGCCTTAATTTTAATCATAAATCCCAAAACTTAAAAGCAACCAAGATGTCCTTCATTAAATGAATGGATAAACCGTGTTATATCCAGACAGCTGATCAAAGAAAATGAGCTATCAAGCCATGAAATGATATGGAGGAACTTTTTAAAGCACATTACTAACTGAAAAAAGTTAATCTGAAAATATTACATATTTTATCATTCCAACTATATGACATTCTGGAAAAGATAAACCCATGGAGATCATAAAAGGATCAGTGGTTGTCAGGGTCTGGGGGATGGGAAGGAAAATAGGGAGAGCACAAAGAATTTTTAGGACAGTAAAACTATTCTAAATGATACTGTAAGAATGAATTTGTATTGTATGTTTATCAAAACCCATAGAATATACAACATCAAGAGTGAACTGTAACATTATATAGACTTCAGATGGTAATGATAAGCCAATGTGGATTCAACTGTAAGAAACATACCACTCTGGTGCAACATACTGATAGTGGAAGGGGAGAGTTAGGCATGTGTAAGGATGATGAGTTTAACAAAATTGCCCTTTCTCCTCAAATTTACTGTGAACAAAAACTGCCTTTAAAAAATAAAGCTTTTTTAAAAAGAAAGACAGAGCTGGGGATTTAGCTCAGTGGTGCCAGCACCTGCCTTGCAAGCACAAGGTCCTGAGTTCAATCCCTGGTACACAAAAATAAATAAATAAAATAAAATAAAAAAGGAAGGAAGACAAAACTGAGTATCCACAATAGGCCATATTAAAAAATCAAAGGTATAAATATAATTGGAATTCCAGAAAGAAAAGGTATGAGGCAGAATAATGTGTTAAGAAATAATGCAAAAGACTTTTGAATTAGACATCTTGTTAGTAACTATGTAAGCTGGAAGACAGTAAAGTGACATCTTTTAAATGTTGGAAAATTTGAAAATACGTTGAGAGAAAATAAGTCAATCCTAAATTATATAACAAGTGATAACAATCTTTGAAAAACAGAAGGAAAGATTAACAACATGAAAATGACAGAGTTGGAAGTTCCTAGAATCAGCTCCCCCAACGAAGTAATTAAGTTGACAAAAAAACAACTTATAAAAAAATTTCAAATCTAACAAAAACTTTCAACAGAGAAGAGTGCCTACCAAAGAAAAAGCTACTAAATTGGGTAAGAAATCAAAATGGCATTTTGATTCCCTACACACCATCCCTGATTCCCTAATTCATCAGTGCCAATGGGGACAGCAGATAAAATTCATAGTGTAGCTTGCTGGTACAACAAAAGGCAACATGAACATTGTTCTCAAAAATGGTGGTTGTGCATTTTTTTATGAGCTTCCCAGATAGGATCTGTTAAAAGAACTTAAATATAGTATAGCTGCATAGGGGAAGAGACAGCCTATGACATGAGCACCAAATAATCAAAGAACCCTGTAAGTAGAATATGAATAGGAAGATATGTTAGGGAATTAGAGCTTTTAAGGACTACCATGTATTCTGGGAAATCAAATTGCATGCATAGGGATGGATAAATGCTCAGAGAGACCTGGAAGATGCACAAGCTCACACCTCTAGGTGACTGCTGGAATCTATGAAAGTAGAAAGTAAATATTTAGGTAGAGCTTTAAGTAAGTGGCTACTGAAGGAATTTCTTGGCTAAGAACCAAGAGCCCCCCCCCCTTTAATTAAGGAAATCTGTCGGAGCACTAATTTGATGACCAGGGAACACATGACCTTCTCACTGAGGCCTTTTTATTCTGAAACAGGACCTCTCTAAATTGCGAAGTTCCCCAAGCAGGCCTCAAACTTTGGATCCTTCTGCCTGAGTCTCCCTTGGCACTAGAATTAACACCACACCCAGCTAAAAAGTGTAAATAAGGATGAAAACGATTAAAATGAATAATTGATAATTTGAAATAAGAAAAGCTCCAAGGGTTAGGGGATGGTGGGAGGGGAAAGGGAAAGGGAAGAATGGAAAGGAAAAATTATGAGAAAGAAAAAAAAATGGAATCAAACTCTGTGTAAATAGGGAAGGGTGGAGGGGGTGAAGGGTGCACAGGTAACGGGAGAAAAAATAAAAACTAAGATACATCATGTTCTGGTACAAACACCCAATGATAAATGTAAATGTATTTTATAACTAAAATGTACCAATAAATAAATATATATATACATATATATATAAAACATGATTCAATTATATGCTGTCCATAAGAGACTCATTTTGGATTCTACTAGGTTAAAAGCATAAAGATACTCTATGAAAATAGTAAAGAGAGCTGGAGTGGGTTTCTTAGTATCAAACAATTCATTAGGAAAACATAAGAATCATTAAAAGATATGTACTAAACAGCAATGTCCCAAAATATATGAAATGTCACAGAATTAAAAACAAAACTGAATTGAAGAAAGAACTAGACAGTGCTACAATAATACATTACTTCACCCCTCATCCACAGGGCACATACTCTAAGACACTGGATGCCTGAAACACAGACAGTACCCAACGTAATAATATACAACAGATCTTAGCAACCTCAGCATATATTTTTCTTTCCTTATTGAGACCTCCTACTGTTGCACTTAAAAGAAGCAATTTATGACTTCTCTTTCACATATCCAAAGGGTCCAAATCACTGCCCTTGTACTTTGCGGATATGATAAAGTAAAATAAGGGCAATTTATCCATAAGCACTGAGATACCATGACTAGCAATCTCAGAATGGAAACAACCATTTAAGTAAGTAATAGGCAGGAAGAGCATACAGTGCAGACACAAGGGACAAAGGGACAATTCATGTCCCAAGAAGGAGAGTGAGAAATTTCTATCATGCTATTCAGAATGGCATGCAATTTAAAATTATCAGTTATTACCAGAATTTTCTATTTAATACAGTATTTTCAGGCCACAGTTGACCATGAGTAACTGAAACTACATAAAGTAAAACCATAAATAAAATAGTATAATGATAATTTTAATACATGATTCCAAATAAAACATAAAGCATGTACATAGAAGATCAACAAAGGAACAGATGACTTGAAAAACAATGCAAACTAGCTAGTCCAAAAGACATATAAATACCTCCCAACCACAGAATACACATTCTTCTCATGTGCACATGAAATATTCTTCAGGATAAGCGATGTTTTAGGCCAAAAAACAAATTATCAACAAACTTTAAAAGACTGAAATCATAAGGTGTCTTATCTGATCGTCATGAAATAATGCTAAAAGTCAAAAATTGAAGAAAAACTGGAAAAATCACAAATATATGGAACAAAACAACACAATTTTAAATATCAATGAATCAAAAAATACACCACAATTTATAAATAGAAATAAATAATAGAAATAATAATAGAAAATATAGCTTTAAATATCCATATTTTTAAAAGAAAATCTCAAATTAATGACTTAACTATACACCTAACAATGAAAAAAAAAATTAAACCAATAGACAACAGAAATAACAGAAAGAGTGCAAAAAAAGAGACTTTTAAAATGCAATCAATAAACCCAAAAGCTGGTTTTTGAAAGGATCAACGAAATTGACAAATCTTAATAGTGACTAGTAAAAACAGAAAACATGCAAATAACTAAAATCGGCAACAAAAATGAGACTATTACTATTTACAGAAATAAAATAAGAGAATATGGTTAACAACCATGTTAACAAATTACTTATATGCACACAATGAACAGAAATACAGAAAACAAGACTTACAAGTACACACTCCCAATTGGTTATCAAAAATCTCCCCATAAGGAAAAGCCATGGGCCAGATGGTGTTACTGATAAATTACACCAAACGCAAGTTAGAAAGAATTAACATCAATCTTCTCAAAGTCCTTCAAAAAACAAAGAGGGCTGGGGATTTAGCTCAGTGGTTCCGCCACCTGCCTGGAAAGTGCAAGGTCACCAGTTCGATCCCCAGTACTAAAAATAAAAACAGACAAAGAGAATATTTCCCTAACTCATTCAGTAAAAAGTACAAAAAATGGGAAAGAATAAAAGTGTCTCTATTTCTAGACATGATTGTCTATGCAAAAAACCTGAAATTGACCCAAAAATCAAAACAACTCCTAGATCTAATACATGATTATAGCAAGTTTGATAACTATACAACTAATATACATCAATCACTTTCCTATATGCCAGCAACGGACCAACAGAATTTGAAATTTAAAACAATACTATTTATATTAGCATTCAAAAGAATAAAATACTGGGCCGGGGATTTAGCTAAGTGGTTCCACCACCTGGCTCACAAGCACAAGGACCCAAGTTTGATCCTCAGTACCAAAAAATAAAATAAAATAAAATAAAATAAAATAAAATAAAATAAAATACTTGGGTATAAATCAAAATATTTACAAAATTTCTACAAGGAAAACAGTCAAAGTGATTAAAGAAATTTGAGGAGAATTAAATAAATGGAAAATTATTCCATGTTTTGTAGATAGGAATATTTGCTATGACCCTTTTTTCCTTTCTTTTCCCCCTCATTGTGGTGGGGATCAAACCCAGGACCTTGCGCAATCCTAGGTAAGCACTTTACCACTGAGCTATATCCCCACTGCTTTCTACCTTTTTCTTCTTCTCCCCACCCCCGTCCTGTGGTAGGGGATACAAACAAGGCCTTGTGAGAAGTTCTTCCTATTTAGATGTACAGATTAAACACAATCCCAATCAAATTCTCAGCAGGTTATTTTGTGGCTAACTCAAAATGATTCTAAAGTTTACAGAGAAGAGCAAAAGACCGAGAAGAGCCGACATAATAATATTGAAGGAGCTGAACAGAGGACTGAAGCTACTCAACTTTAAGACTTACTATAAAACCCACAGTGACCATGAGAATAT